TTCTTTCCAGGACAATAAGAACATCTGTGCCAAGGCAGAGGAGGAGGCCGGGCGCTCCGAGGCATCTCTGCCGGAGTCTCTTGACACTGTCCGATTGTTACTGCTTCAGTTTCTGCTGGGATCACTGACCATGTCCATTTAGAGCAGGCTGACTTGGGCAAAGACAGTGTAGGGCTGAGGAAGGACAGAGAGGACCTGTCTGGCGGGGGGTGGAGGTGTGAGGTGGGCAGGGAGCTAGATCAATTCTAAAGCGACCAGGTTACAAATGAGCTGCTGCAAAGTACAGGGTGAATCTTGCACCCGTAAATGGGAGGAAGGAGTGCTTCCACTCTCCCCCTCCTCTGTTGACTTCGAGTCCAGTTTGTTTGCAGCCTCCTCCTGGCAGATCGGGCTTCGGGTCGACCTTGGGGCAAATGGAGGAAGAACTACAGGTTTGATCCTTATATGGGACAGTCTGCTTCACACTCAGAAAAACTTGGCTACTTCCTGCCTCCCAGCTCCAGTTGCAAACTGGAGTTAAAGTCGAGTTTCTGGCTCCCTGCAAACCATTCCCAGTAACTAGACAGTCAGTTTACCCAGTGTGTTCGGATGGTGACTGCAGCCATATCTAGTCCCAGCAAGTCGGCATCCCACTGGGGATGAGCTAGGACAGCTCCTTAGTTTCTTCCTCACTCAGACTTAGCCCTGGAACTGGCAGTTCTGGGGATCAAGAGGTAGGCATCTGCCTCCTGCATAATTAGTTACATCAGTCTCAAAAAGCATTGATGGCCCATCCCTCTGGGCATCATGCTGTGCCTGGCACGAGCTAGTAATCTCCACCCGGTTCTGGCCCTCCCGAGTTTACAACCTTAAGTCACACAATAATGACACAGATCCCAAAGGCGAGCAGTCAACAAATACATCCACTTGTCTGCCAATCACAAGGGATCCATTGAGTGAGCCACTGCGACAAACAGGGCCCCCTTCAAAGAGCTTCCAGTCTGGTGGGTAAATAGGTAAGACTGAGTGAGGGCTTGGGAGAAGAGATTTGGGCGAGGAAACACAGTCAACTTGGGCATAATGGAACGGACTTTTTATTGCTTTTTTTTTTTTTTTTTTGAGACAGAGTCTCACTCTGCCACCCAGGATGGAGTGCAATGGCGTGTTCTCAGCTCACTGCAACCTCCGCCTCCTGGGTTCAAGCGATTCTCCTGCCTCGGCCTCCCGAGTAGCTGGGGCCGCTGGCGCTGGCCACCACTCCCGGCTAATTTTTGTATTTTTAGTAGAGATGGGGTTTCCCCATGTTGGTCAGGGTGGTCTCGAACTCCTGACCTCAGGTGATCCGCACACCTCGGCCTCCCATAGTGCTGGGATTGCCGGCGTGAGCCACCGCGCCCGGCCCGAAAGGACTAAAAAGTGTCTATTGGCATGTGGCTGGATTTTCTGTCGACTTGAGCCACGTCCCTCACTCTGCGTCCGGCGGGGTCTATACAAAAGGCTCTGCGATGTGTGGTGGGGAGAACCCCGGGCGGAGAGGCGGGGGTCCGTGGTGCTTGGCGTGGGCTCACCCTCTCTCCCTGGGTGGCCAGAACGTATCACTAGATCTCGCCTCTCCGGGCCTGACGGTCGGCAGTAAGGGTCCCTCACAGCTCGGGCATTTTCTGGACAGTCCCCCGCCCTCCTCCCGCCAGCCGCTAGTCTCAGCTGCGCGTCGCGCGTCGGTGGCACAGGTTTGGGGCGGGAGCCGGGAGGAGGCTCTGGGTCATGTCATCCCCGGAGGAAAGGTCGCGGCGACTCCCCGGGGCGCACCGGCCTGGCCTGGGCTGCTGGAGGAACCTCGGCCGGCCTGTCCCCTAAACATTTCCGACGGGCGCCTGCGCCCCGGGAGGCTTCCGAGGGCCCGGCTGAGCTGGGGAGACCCAGCCAGGCCCGGGTTCGCGCTCCCAGGCCGCTCGCCCGCCCGTCCGCGAGGTGCCGGCGGCCAGTGGGCGCCGAGGCTCCCCGAGGGCGGGCTGCGGGGGTGCGCGCTGCGCCGGGCCGGGCCGAGGCAGGGCCTGGGCGAGCGAGCTAGCGGAGCGCGGCGGCGGGAGTGCGTGTGTAGGGAGAGCGCGCGGGAGCGCGAGCTGCCGGCCCGGGAAGGGTGGATCGGGGAGCGGCGGCGGCGGCGGCCGCGGGAGGAGCGAGCCGGGAACCGGAGGCCAGCCGGGCTGGCGGGCCGGAGCCGCGGGGGGGAGGGCGGAGCGCCGAGGGCGGAGACGGGGCCGCGGAAGGGAGGGGGCCGCGGGGCGCGGCCGCGGGGCGGGGCGCCGGGACCTGGGGAAGATAAGAGCGTGCTCGGGGGAGCGAGGGCGGGAGCGAGGGAGGGGCGGGGGACTTAGAGACCAAAGAGGAGACAAAAGGACGGGGTGGGTGGGAGGGGCATAGACGAGCGGGGGTTGGGGAGGGGGGCCGGGGGACGCCTCGCGGGGAGGGGTGTGTGTGTGTGTGTGTGTGTGTGTGTGTGTGTGTGTGTACCGCGGGGGGGGCCACGGTGTGGGAGGGACTTAGAGAGGGACATGATGGGACAACATAAGGGAACGCAGGGGTACGGAGAAAGGGGGGGCGGGAGTGCTCCACCACGCTGGCCACGAAGGGGAAGGGAGGCCGCGAAGGGGAGGCCGCTGGGAGGACTGGCGACATACAGGGACGGGGATCCTGGGGATGGACACTCCGCGAGGAAAGGGGCTCAGGGCTTCGGCGGGCTCGGGAGGGGAAGGGGGAGCCGAAACGAGGAAAGGGGGTGCTGTGGAGACCCAAGGGTGAAGGCGGATGGGCGTGTGTGCAGCGCTGAGGGCAGGGATTTAACGCCGCTGTTCGGGATGACCAGAGGACCACGGTGGGGGCTGCACAGACGGGACGGGGCTACCGAGGCAGGACGAGAAGTGCCCAGGGGAAAGTGGGACCTACAAGGGCTAGAGAAGGGTGGCGGGGGCGGCCTCGGGCTCGGCAGGAAGGCGCCACCACCGCCCTCTGCCCGTCCCCAGCGTGCCCCGCCCCGTCCGGGGGCCCTAAGGGCAGCGGCCTGGGCCTTGGGGGAGCCGAGCCAGGGCGGTACCATTCGGAACAGAGAGGGGGGCTTGGGGGGAAGGGAGGAGCCAGGGGTCAGAACCCTGTTGGGGGCGGGGGGGCGCCACACCCTGGGAAAAAGGCTTGGGCACATCCAGAACGGACCAATCAGCGAGCAAGGCCAGGGTGGCGTCAAGGGGCAGCTTCGGCCAATGGGAAGGGAGAACACTTCGGAGGTTCGGAGGAAGAAAAGAAAAAAAAGCCCCACGAAACAACAATCGAATCCGTTTGGGGGCTTGGAAGGCTGGAAGCGGGCGTCGTTTATAGCACGTTCTGGCACCTGCCTCTCCTCTGAAGGATGGAGTCGCTTGCATCACTCCTGGGCAGTGGGGAGCAAACGGAGCTCAAGAGGGTCCCGGGAAAGTAGACGGGGATTGGCCATTTACCGGGGACACTTGATTGGGCGCTTCAATTTGGGGGGTGGGTGGGACGGAGGTAGCAGCTTTGTGCTCAAAAGAGTGCAAGATAATGTTGTGGTCCCTTAAACGGAGGCAGGAGTGGGCAGGGTGCCGCATCCCCTACCACTGGCTGCTGACTTAAGTGTCAACCAGCGAGTGGATCGTGAATAATCTCAAGCTGATGGATAACTTAAGCATGCCCTTTGGGCACTGAACACTGCTCAACATACTCATTTCCGTTCCCTTCCCAGTCCCAGGTTGTTTCATAAGAGGATGAGCAATGGTAGGGGCCACAAGGGACCGCTGGGAAATTCATAGAAATTTATCTTTGGCTTTTCGCTTCTGTTAGTCTAGGGTTCTAGTCCCCTACTCAGTCACCAGTTTAATGTAACACCAGATACATCACTGTTCTGAACAGTTTCTTGTATAAAGGTACTGGGACTAGCTACCTTTGAGGTCTAAACATTTTGGAACTGATTTGGAGAGCGGTGTGCTCAGAAGAGAAGGCAGTAACTGTCCGGGGCCAGGGGAGGGGGACTGCAAAAGAAAACTTGTAGTGGTACAGCTTTTGACCCAGGGATTCCAAATGTCTCAAAAGCCTCTGAAACTGTATGTAAAATGTCATGCAAGCGTGTGTGTGCACGTTTCTGGAGACGGTTCATAAATTTCAACATATTTTTAGAGGGGCCTGTGACACAAAAGTGAACCCACTTTGGTTTAAAAATGTTGGGTATGGGACTGAACCTCCAAGGCAGGAGGCAAGGTGCAGTCATGGTGTCATTTTGAAACCAAAGGTGTTTCCCAAATTCCTTGTTAGGAAGCTCGGCTGCAGCGAATCTTTCCATATATTTCTTGTCATCCAAAGGCAGACCAAGTTCCTCAGAGCTGAGAAGCCCATGTGAACTGTCATATAGCAAAGCAACGCTTGAATAAACTATACTTTCAATCAATGGTGAGGAGCGGGCCCTGAGTTAGGAAGGAAAAGCAATAGAGGTTTACTTCTGAAATCACATCTACATTTATCTACAAAATAAGGGTAAAATCTCCCGGTCTTCTGAGAAAAGGTTATATACATGATATTGTAGACAGCAGCCTGTACAAGCTGGGAAAGCTCACACATGTAAAAAAAATGACAGTTGCTAGACTTGTGGGGAAAGAACCCAGCTTCAGCACCATGCTGGTCTTAGGATCAGTCTAGGACAGAATCCAATTGCAGGGTTTGTACATCTTCTTCCTAGGCTCAGAGGTCAAAATATAGAATGTTTTATCATAATTAACCCTGTCTCTTCAAGTTGGCAGTAATTAATGGTGGATCATATCTGATGTGATATATTTAAGATCACAGACTACAATGAATTTTCTCCATTTTGATTTAGGACCAACTACATAATACTTGGTAAGACAAAGAAGTGCCCCTGACAAGTGCAACTAGAGAAATGCAATATTGGAGCGTCCATAGGTGTCTGGCTTGACGAAATGATTTCACTGGGGGACAACACAACATATACTCCAGATAAATAGATTAAAAAAGCCTTTATTTTTAAAATGTGGCTCAACTACATGCAAGGTGCTGAGCCAGTTTTGGAATCTGCCTTGTAGCAGAGTAAAACTGGACCAAAGGAAGTGGAGTCAGGGCTCCTGGCTGTCACTCCTCTAGCAACTCAATCTACAGTTTTTCTTCAGCTGTTTTTTGTGACGCGTGGTGACCCGTTTTGGATTCCTCTGTATGACAGAAAGGTCCGACCTTGAGGAAGACCGGTAGCCCACATCCTCTGCTTTTATGGGCTTAATGATATGGCCTGGCTTGGTGATGACCTTAGGAGTAGTCAGCTTTTGGAAAGCTCTCTGGGTGTTCCACGTGGATCCTATAGGGGTCTGAATAGTCCTTTCAAATTGTCGATGGTGGGTAAATGGATATGGAAGCACTCGTACCTGGGAAGGAAGGAAGAATGATTTGCTATGAGGCAGGCCTGGGGTGCAGTTGTATACTGGAATGGCAGCTCTCATCAGGCACTGTTTTGGTACAGACCACGGTTCCACATGATGACTGCAAGTGAAGAGACTGAGAGATCAAGGCATCCCAGTGCTCCCATCTGCCCTTAGGAGTCCAATCTGCTTGATGACACTGGGAGTGGGGGGGGGGGGAGGACTAAGTTGGCTCTGGATCCCCTATTCAACAATTTAGGGTCTGAAAAACCACCCCGACACTGCCCCCCCCTTTTTTTTGAGACAGAGTCTCACTCTGTTGCCCAGGCTGGAGTGCAGTGGGGTGATCTCCAATCACTGCAGCCTCCACCTCCCAAGTAGCTGGAATTACAAGCGACACTGTCCCTGTCTAGCTGTAGGAGCTCCAGGGCTGTTGTCCCACAGTGAGTTTTCCTATATAACACTGTGACTGCAAGAACCTACAACTTTGTGTATCCCTGTGAATTTCATGTCTTTTCTACCCTCTTTATGCTCTCAGTCTTCTCCTTCCCTCTCTTAGGATTGATGTTTTAAGGAACTGGAATCCTGAACTCTACCAGGCTGTTACACTTAGCTTCATCTTCTTTTGGCATCACAGAAGTGTAGAGCTGGAAGGCCCTAGATATTGGCAATGGTCATCTCCCTTGGCCTGAAGATTAGGCTTAGAGGGGGGAAGTGATGGACCTAAGTAAATGAGGAGCAGCATTGGAGAACAGAACCCACAGCTCCTGTTTCCTTGCCTGGTACTCCTCCACCACATTACTACCTTCAGATATTTAAATAATCTTTTAGGCAGGTGTGGCGGCTCATGCCTATAATCCCAGCACTTTGGGAGGCCGACACAGGCAGATCACGAGGTCAAGAGATCGAGACCATCCTGGCCAACATGGTGAAACTCTGTCTCTACTAAAAATACAAAAATTTAGCTGGATGTGGTGGTGGGTGCCTGCCAGCTTCTCGGGAGGCTGAGGCAGGAGAATTGCTTGAACCTAGGAGGTGGAGGTTGCAGTGAACTGAGATCGTGCCACTGCATTCCGGCCTGCTGATAGAGCCAGACTCCATCTAAAAAAAAAAAAAATCTTTCAACACTTCCCCAATGGTGAAAGGAGGAAAAACATATAAGCAGAAAATGGGGATGTAAAAATCAGTAGTCTTTGGCAGGGCACGGTGGCTCACACCTGTAATCCCAGTACCTTGGGAGGCCAAGGAAGGCGGATCACTTGAGGTCAGGTGTTTAAGACCAGCCTGGCCAACATGGTGAAACCCCGTCTCTACTAACAATACAAAAATTAGCCGCGTGTGGTGGTGCATGCCTGTAATCCCAGCTACTCAGGAGGCTGAGGCATGAGAATTGCTTGAACCTGGGTGGTGGAGGTTGCAGTGAGCTGGGATCGTGCCACTACACTCCAGCCTAGGTGACAGAGTGAGACTCCGTCTGAAAAAACAAACAAAAAAACCCAAATCAGTAGTCTTTGGAAATATTCAGTGGAATACTCAAGAGAACTAAGTACTCTCTTACCTGTACTTACATGGTCCTGGTAGTAGCGAAGGAAACAGATTTTCTTTAAGTTAAGGGAATGTCTTATTTGGGCTGATGGCTACATCTGTGCTTGTCAACCAGGGCAACAGAAAGAGAACACCTGGACCAAGTATTCAGTCTCAAAAGATCCCCCTAGGCACCTTGAAGCACTTTATTCTACTGCATGTTGGAACCTGCAGCAACTTATTAAAAAGATGAAAATCGGGGGAGATTCCTGGAAAACTCTGTCAGTTTGCCATGACTGTATTAAAAAACAAACAGATAAGACCCGTGGAAGGAAAGGGTGGTCTTTATTGAGTGCCATACTCTGCCCATCACCTGGAATCCTGGCCCACTGAAGCACCCTTGCCCCCTTCCCTTATCCCGTAACTGCCTATTTTCTAGTTATAGATCCTTAATTGGGACAGCAGTGGTTACAATCCAGTTTCTGCAGTGATTGGTTCACAAAATAAGATCAAACAGAATGTTATTGAAATGTACATCTTCTTACCTCTGTTCTGTGCCCATTAGTTCTTTATTTCTTCAGGGGAAAAGATGTAACTCATTTCAATATTATACTGGCTGGGGACAGATCTCAGAATTGAAAGGAACATAAAGATCATCTAGTCCAATTTCATTCCTGAGTCCCCTTTACTCATACTCATGCTCCCAGAGCAGCCTTGAATTCTTTATCTCCTTTAACTTCTACTTTATGTGACTTCATACAATAACCTTCAATATACTCGAACACTGTAATCACATTCAACTTTTCTTTTCTCTTGTAAACATCCCTAGCTCATTATCATGTGACACAACTTACAATCTTCTCATTCTCCGGAACAAGTACCGGTTTGTCTTCATTTTTCTTAAGATACAGCTCAAACCTCATAGCCTCTGTTTGAGTATTACCTTGACTCTAAACTTTTTTTACTGGCCAGTAATTAAAACAGCATAGTCTATCTGAAATGGTCCATCTAATAGCCATTCAGTGAAAACAAGAGAGTTGATTTTGTGGTCAAGACCACACGTTCCTCTTGACCACGATCATTGGAATAATCTTTTCAAGCAAGAGAGCCAGGCAGTAACGAGCAGGCAGCTAAAGAGCTCTAAGCTCTCACCTGATGAGCCGCTGCGTGGATGTTACGCTTCTCATTGATAATCACATTTGGCAAATTCTTATCTTTTCTTGGAGGACCCTCAGGGGCTTTAATGAGAAACCTGGAAGGCAAAACCACAGGACATCTGACTAGGAGTATTAAGGACTTAGTCAAAAGGGAAGGGAGGACACTGAAGGGCGAGGGGGGGAGAACCTGGTGCCCTTTTGACAGGCTTTCTTCTGTGTTCTTACCGGCGTCTTTTCTTGGCACTGGGCTTTAGGCCCACACCACCCCACTCGCCCCAGCCAGGTAGTGTCAGGTCCACGTCCTTTGGCTTACTGGCCTCCACAGCTTCCCTCTTCTCTTTCAAGAAATCTCTGATGACATCATCCCCAGCGAAAGCTTCCTTTATCATCTGCCTTTGGTTTCTCTCCACTTCATCTTCCTGGGAAGAAACAAGCGAGAGCTACAGCTTGGCCAACGAGCTGTGGCTCATGGCTAGAACGCTTGAATTTTAGCGCCCCCTAGGGGGAAGTGCTGAATAATGATGGTCTTGCGATACAAACCAATCGTAGGCAATCATGCTCCAATTTTTTTCTCTCTAGGGTAAATATCCCTAGCTCATTATCATATGACACAATTTTAAACTTTTCAGTAAGGAAGCTGCAGGGTGGAGGAAGGAATGGCCTGTGATAGCAGCAGGAGCTCTAAGTGGCTAGACTGTGGGCTTCCTCTAGCTTATATCCTTGAAAAGACAGGTACCAGGATGCCTCCCTTTAAGTTTCAAATTAACTGGGGAGTCTTAGATCATTTGAGATCCCACTGAGTATAACTTTGGCAACAGCTCAACGACTCACCTTCAAGTTGTCCTGCCTGGGATCTGGTCAGAGCTCTGAGTTACTCCCTCTTTCCTCTGAGGGCAGTTTTAGAGTTACCCCAGAGAAGTTTTGGTGGATCAGGATTTAGGAAATGGTGGTCTTGGCAGCACCCACATACCTGCATCTATTAAAACATCACTGGGACTAGCCTGACCCTATACTATGCTGGACTTCTCAACTGCTGAAATGTGCCCCCAGCAAAACAAAGCTTCATTACTCCTTGTGCAAGAAAGATACTTTCTGAACCAGCTCTGATCCCCCACAATGGCCCACGACCCTGGCTTTGCTCACCAGCATCTCTATTGTGGGAACTGCCAAAGACTTCACCGAGAGAGACTGTGTGGTTAGGAGGTTCTGTAGGTCAATCATTTGCTCCTTCTTTTTCTTCTCCTTAGGGGCATCAGGGTGATTATTTGGGGTCTTCTCTGACCAATGCCCTTCTAACACAGGTCTGGAAACCTCCTTATTTTGAAAACATTCTTCTTTTTCTAGCTCTTCCAGCATCTGTACTCTTTCTGGCTTCTGTAGCAACAGGGGCTCTTCTTCTTCTGGGGCAGGTTCCTCTCTCTGGACCTGGGGAACAGTCCCCTCTGAACTTGCTTTTTGCTTCCTGGACTGATGGTTTTCCTTCAATTTCTGAGACAGTGCCTTCAATTCGGACAGCACCTCCTGGCTACTAGAATCTGGGGGAAAAAGAATGAAAGCTGTCTGAAAAGGAGGTTTGTATGTTGCCTGGTCAGTAAGCATTTGTTGAGCACCCAGTGAGTGCTAGGTACCACATAATGCATTCTAACAAGGACAAGTGGGGAAAAGAAGATTCTGCATATGGGATCTCCTAGAGAGTACACTAATTATAGCAGGCAATGGAGTTTGGCAATTAAAAGTAGCATGTAAGATGTCAGATATGGTGTGTCACACCTGTAATGCCAGCACTCTGGGAAGCTGAGTGGGGAGGATTGCTTGAGCCCAGGAGTTCGAGACCAGCCTGAGCAACACATAAGAAATCAGTAACTCATCTCTACCAGCACCCCCCTGCCCCCCAAAAATTGCCAGGCATGGCAGTGTGCATCTGTAGTCCCAGCTACTTGGGAGGCTAAGCTGGGAGGATCACTGGAGCCGGAAGGTCAAGGCTGTAGGGAGCTGTGATGGTGTCGCTGGATACTAGGCTGGGCCACAGGGCAAGTCCTGTCTCAAACAGAGAAAAAAATGAAAAACAAAAAAAACTCAAAAAAAAAAAAAACCAGTAGCATGTTGGAAAGAAGATATCCTAGGTCCTATTCCCAGTTTTGCCAGTGACTCACTGTATAACTGGGACTGTGGCTTAAGTTCCCTGTGCAGTAAACCCTGCTTGGGAAGACTGCCCTAAGTTTCAAATTTTAAAAAAGGAAGCCACTTTAACATGTGGCTTCCAAATGTAATTTCATCGTAATATATGCTTTACTGCTTGTAAAAACTTTATCCAGGATTTTATCTTGACTCAAGAATTTCTACTTCATATCTTAAAGCAGTATTTCATAATCTGCTATGGCTGAGCCAAGGGGTAAAGCAGCTGCTTTATCTAGTCGATGTAGCTCACACTTCTACTGTCAACATCTAAGCAAATAACACTAGTATCAAGAGTCTGGAGGGGCTGCCTGGGCGCAGTGGCTCACACCTGTAATCAAAGAACTGTGGGAGGCCGAGGTGGGTGAATCACTTGAGGCCAGGAGTTTGAGACCAGCCTGACCAACATGGTGAAATCCCATCTCTACTAAAAATACAAAAATTAGCTGGGCATGGTGGTGCAGGCCTGTAATCCCAGCTACTTGGGGGTTGAGGCAGGAGGACTGCTTGAACTTGGGAGGCAGAGCTTGCAGTGAGCAGAGGCTACACCACTGTACTCTAGCCTGGCTGACAGAGACCTGTTCCCCCCCCCAAAAAAAAGAGAGTCTGGAGGGAAGCATGGCAGTGTCATGCTTCTAAACTGTCCTTTGCATTGATTCAAGTTGCCCCATTCCCAAGTTGATCCTGCTCTCTAGCTTTGCCATGAAGCCATTGTAGCTCCTTAGATCTGGCCTGTGGACATAGGCATGTTTATTTCTCAAGAATCAAGTTTCCTTGCTCGTTTTCATTGGAGTCCGTGACTTTCCAGTATTGTAGGACAATCTTGGAAGGTTTAAGAAAATTCAATTTACTTACTGTCCAAGGAAATCCAAATCTACCTTTTCTTTTTTTTTTTTTGAGATGGAGTCTTGCTCTGTCGCCCAGGCTGGAGTGCAATGGCTCGATCTCAGCTCACTGCGACCTCCGCCTCCCGGGTTCAAGTAATTCTCCTATCTTAGCCTCCCAAATAGTTGGGACTACAGGTGCCTGCCACCACACCCGGCTTTTTGTATTTTTAGTGGAGATGGGGTTTCACCATGTTAGCCAGGATGGTCTTGATCTCCTAATCTTGTGATCCGCCTGCCTTGGCTTCCTAAAGTGCTGGGATTATAGGCATGAGCCACTGCGCCCGGCCCAAATCTATCTTTCATACTTTCATATCACAGTGAACTGCTCTGCACATTTAGCTAGATGGCCAGTTGTTGAGGGGGCTCATGAGGAAGCCACTAGGGTCCTGTGATCATATACAGACACCCCCACAATCTCAGCCTGCTGTGCTGCTTTCCAAAATTCCCTCAGAAGTGACTACTTGCAACTATTAATCCTAGAAACATCCAGCCAAAACCCTTAAGTAAAGGTCCCTACAACACATTCTAAATGATAACTCTTTTAAAATAATTTTTTGTATGTGGAAACCTGAAGAAAAAAAAAGGAGAAAAAAAGGGAGGCTGGGTGCAGTGGCTCATACTTGTAATCCTCACACTTTGGGAGGCTGAGGTGACAGGATAGCTTGAGGCCAGGAATTCAAGACCAGCCTGGGCAACAGAGCAAAACCTCAGTCTCTACAAAAACTTAGCTCAGCATGGTGGCACAGGCATGTAGTCCCAGCGAGCTGGGAGGCTGAGCCAAGAGGGTCGCTTGAGACTGGGAGGTCTTAGGCTGCAGTAAGGTATGATTGCATCACCGTACTCCAGCCTGGGTGACAGAGCAAAACCCCGTCTCTTAAACAAAAAAAAAGTAGGAAAGATAATTTTTTGCCATTGAAAACCAGATTTTTGCCATCATCTAAATGCATTCCTATGTGGAACTGAACTAGACCTGATAATTTGTCCAGATAGCCAAATTATTTCTCAATGTAGGTAGTTTCCTAGGCAGGCTTTTTAGTGTCCTGTTTTATTGCCAGAATGGGAACTCTCTGACCAATCTCACAGGTGCTAACGCTGTTAATAAGAACTCTTCAAGATAACACGTAGAAAATACAACGTACAGATAAAGCCTGAGCATAGAGTCACTATTCTAATTTGCCATGTAGCCCCGTGGAGTCATTCATTCTGTAAAGTCTCACCCCATATAGACACACATAAACTAGTATCAAGAACTGCCAAAAATGCTACTCCTACTTAACTAACAAACAAATAAACTCCAGCAATTAGAATGTTTCACAGTGCCTCAAAATCTACCTACCTGTTTGTATAGGTGTGAACAGACGTTCAGATTCGCCATTCTACCACACATACTTCTCCCTGGTGTGTGGGTACCAGGAACACTAACTCATACCCTGCCTTCGAGGATGGTTTAGTTATTATGGCTTTCTAAAGGCTGTAAGCCCCCAAGAACAGAAAACTTGCCTGAACACATTGCATGGCCATGCAGATGACTGCTTATTAAATGCCTTTGAAGAAAAATAGTTATGAATCTAATTCTTCTCAGGGATCCAGTGCACACACTCTTGCAAGTCCCCAGAGCCTAATCACTATGCAGTGTGTGTGTGGGTGGACATTTTTTTCTCCCGTAGTCTGTCCATAGCACTAGGAAGTCCGCCTTTCCATTTGATCACAGCTCACCTTTTGTTTCTTGACTGCCTGCTGGCTCAGCATCCTGGTTGAGCTCAGATCTTTTTCTAAGGGATCGCCTTTCCTCAAATTCTCTCAACAAAATGTCTTCCTCTGCCACTGGTCTTTCTTCTCCCTCGCTTTCAGAAACTTCGTGGGCCTCAGGCTCTGGCAGCTGCTCAGGGACCTCCTCCTCGGTTGCAGCCTCTTTGGTGTCACTGGTGCAGCTCCTGAGCATCCAGGGATTCGGTCTGTCCACATTCATCTGCACTTCATTCACTGCATCAGGGACAAGGAGTTCTTCCACTTCTTCTCCATCTCCCTCCTCTTCCTCACTCTCAGAGGCTACCTGGAGTTTCTGTGTCAGTTCTTTGTTCTTGGTCAACTGTTCCTGCATAGCTTGGCGAGCCTGGAGGAAAGTCACAGCATGAGAGCCTTGTCATTAGTGACCACAATAACACCTTTCCCGGTCCATTTCATAAAGCTGCCTCCTCTCAATTTGACTTGGTATTTCTTACTGGTACCCACTGTTTAAACTGCACATACAATGCTGTGTTAATAGCTATGGTATAAAATGGAAGGCAAATTCTTTGTCCTTATGGAATCAACAGGTGAAATAAGATTTTAAAAAGCTCCTCTCCCCTTTTGGACTTGCCTTCAATGCTGTTTCCCTTTCATCTCTCCTTTTCCACCTTGTTCCTGGTCATTTTCCTTTCTGCCTTAGAGATTTCTCTGATGCCTTTTTTAGATTCCTGGTTTTCCATCCATCCTCATGGCTCTTTCCCAACTCTGCTTCTGCTAGCATCCTCCAATTCCAGATCTGCTCTCACCCAAAGGGTCTCTTACCTCCAGGTCGTATTTGGCCATAATTGCCTTTGATTTGGCCCATTTCCCACTGTTTTGGTGCTTAAGGCTCATTCTTTCCTAAAAAGAAAGAAGAGTGAGATTTCGACCTTTAGTGCCTTTCAAGGAAAGCTGGTTGAAAACGGTAAGGGTAGGGCAAGAGGCAGTCTCACCATCATTCTGGCCTTTTCAATTTTTTCCAGTTCTTCCAGTGCTGCAGCTGGATTAACCTTCCGCAGCTGCTCAAACTCTTTTAGGGCTTTTTTGGCCTTTCCTTTCTTCACGACTTTGTGATACCTGTAAGGTAAGAGGGTAGGAGGGAAGAGTTTAGCAATTTAACTGAAGCAGTGATGTCGTAGGCACAAGTACCCATATCACCCAATGGGTTTCCCAAGGCAGGGGGCTGGAATGGGCATCACAGAGCTAGTTGGCTGTAGGGAGTCAGTTTGGGACCTGAGAGGACTGGCAAGACTCTTGGTACCCACAGTCCTCAGGTAGACCTCTGCGGCTCAAAGAGTCTGCCTCTATAGCTCAAGGGAGGAGTAGAACTTTTTCTTTGTTTAGACAGTGTCTCACTCTGTCACCCAGGCCGGAGTGCAGTGACGTGATCTTGGCTCACTGCAACCTCCACCTCCTGGGTTCAAGCGATCCTCCTGCCTCAGCCTCCCAAGTAGCTGGGACTACAGGTGCACATCACCACACCTGACTAATTTTTGTATTTTTTGTAGAGATGGGGGTTTTGCAAATTTTTCTTCTTCTTCTTTTTTTTGAGATGGAGCTTCACTCTTGACACCCAGGCTGGAGTGCAATGGTGTGATTTCGGCTCACTGCAACCTCCACCTCCCGAGTTCAAGCAATTCTCCTGCCTTAGCCTCCCAAGTAGCTGGGATTACAGGCACCTGCCACAATGCCCAGCTAATTTCTGTATTTTTAGTAGAGATGGGGTTTTGCCATGTTGTCCAGGCTGGTCTTGAATTCCTTACCTCAAGTGATCCGCCCACCTTGGCCTCCCAAAGTGTTGGGATTACACGCGTGAGCCACCATGCCTGGCCGGTTTTGCCATGTTGCCCAGGCTAGTCTTGAACTCCTGAGCTCAAGTGATCCATCCACCTCAGCCTCTCAAAGTGCTAGGATTACAAGCATGAGGCACCACACCCAGCCGAACAAGTTTCAGTTTCAAAGAGGCAAAAAGGCAGGAAGGAAGCCCTACTGGCCTCAACAGCTCTGAATTCATTCTGCAGAACCACTCTGATGCCTTGGAAGGGAGAGAAAGTAACTGAATACTCCTCCTTTTGGCAAAACTGTAGGAGGTTGTTTTGGTGGGAAAAAAGAGGCTAGTCATTCCTGTTTGGGACCTCATCTACATGACTCTAGTTGCCGCATCAAAGGTTCACTCCAAAGAATTCATGATGAGCCACATGACTTTCTTCTGTGGAACCCAAGTCCAGTTCACAGGGGCCTCCTTACTTTTTACTTTTAATTTTCTTCTCTCTTCGAGCCTTGGCCTCATAGTAGGACTGCAGAGCCCGGGCCCTCTGAAGCTCTGCTCGGCGCATCTTTGCCTACAACAAATGACATTGACAGTGAGACCTGGGTCAGAGGACAAATGCTAGGAGAGGCGTGACATGCCTGGGTATGTTCAAGGGCGTATGACACACTTACCTCTTCCAGGCTCATGGCTTGCAGAGAGGCCTTTTCCACAGGAGTCAGTAAAGGGTCTGTCACTGGCTGCTTGTTCTTATGGAGGAGGTTGAAAATTTCTTGTTCCAGGGGAGTTCTTGCCTTAAAGAAGTAACAAAACATTCTGAGTCTTAAGCCTTGCTCTTATAGCTTTCTGTCTTCACATTCCTATGATTCTCTAACTTATGACACTATAATTGGAATCATAAGTGGACAGGATTGGCTGTTACAGCAAAAAATGGGGGTTCCAGTCTTCCTGTCAGCAGTGTAAATAAAGCCTTATTTGATTCTTCTTTATCTTTGGAGATAGAGTTTTGCTCTTTTTGCCCAGGCTGGAGTGCAATGGTGCAATCTCGGCTCACCACAATCTCTGCCTCCCAGGTTCAAGCAATTATCCTGCCTCAGCCTCCTGAGTAGCTGGGATTACAGGCATGTGCCACCACGGCTGGCTAATTTTGTACTTTTAATAGAGACGGGGTTTTTCCATGTTGGTCAGGCTGGTCTCAAACTCCTGACCTCAGGTGATCCACCCACCTGAGCCTCCCAAAGTGCTGGGATTACAGGTATGAGCCCCTGCATCCAGCCATATTTGATTCTTATGTAAGACAATTTCAGCCGGGTGTGGTGGTTCACGCCTGTAATCCCAGCACTTTGGGAGGTCAAGGTGAGCACATCACAAGGTCAGGAGATTGAGACCATCCTGGCTAACATGGTGAAACCCCATCTCTACTAAAAAATACAAAAAAAATTAGCCTGGTGTGGCGGCACGCGCCTGTAGTCTCAGCTACTTGGGAGGCTGAGGCAGGAGAATTGCCTAAACCCAGAAGGCAGAGCTTGCAGTGAGCTGAGATCGCGCCACTGCACTCCAGCCTGGGTGACAGAGTGAGACTCCGTCTCAAAAAAAAAAAAAAAAAAAAAAGACAACTTTAGCAGGGAGACACTGAGGCTACTCTCTAATACTGGTGAGGGGATCACTGTGTTCAGGTTACCAATGTATGTTGAAAATTTCCATTCTCTTAAGAATCCAGGCAGGTTGCCCTAGAGTCCCTGTATTATTATGTATCATTTGAAGCACATAACTATTACTTTATAGTTGTGAATCTCAAATTTGTATCATAAGCCTTCTTTTAGAATACTTCTAGAGGGAAGAGGAGGTTAGATTTATTTTTTTGAGACAGGACCTTAGTCTGTCATCCAGGCTGGAGTGCAGTGGCACAATTTCAGCTCACTCTAACCTCTACCTCTGGGGCTCAAGTAATCCTTCTGCCTCAGCCTCCAGAGCAGCTGAGACCACAACTGGAAGTCACTTGGCTAATTTTTTTTATTTTTTGTAGAGACAGGATCCTGCCACGTTGCCCAGGTTGGTCTTAAACTCCTGGCCTCAAGCAATCCTCTTGCCTTAGCCTCCCAAAGTGCAGGGATTACAGGCGTGAACCCACTGCACCCTGTGAGGTTAGATCTTAAGATAAGCAGTATTTGCCACTGATGGTATACCTAGAAAATAGATCTGCAAATGTCTCATAGGGGAAGCCCAACTTTTTTTGACCATAGCCAACTGCTATAAACCATGCATGTAAGTGTTGTTGGTATCATTAATTACTGATAAAAGAAAATGAGAAAAAACATGGCATTTTGCCGGGCGCGGTGGCTCAAGCCTGTAATCCCAGCACTTTGGGAGGCCGAGGCGGGTGGATCACGAGGTCAAGAGATCGAGACCATCCTGGTCAACATGGTGAAACCCCGTCTCTACTAAAAATACAAAAAATTAGCTGGGCATGGTGGCGTGTGCCTGTAATCCCAGCGACTCAGGAGGCTGAGGCAGGAGAATTGCCTGAACCCAGGAGACGGAGGTTGCGGTGAGCCGAGATCGCGCCATTGCACTCCAGCCTGGGTAACAAGAGCGAAACTCCGTCTCAAAAAAAAAAAAAAAAAAAAAAAAAAAAAAAAACATGGCATTTTTTGGCACAGTCTTCAAATGTAGTTTGTGGTGCGGTGTGTGTTTTAATTTCTTGAGCACAAAAGGATATTGCCTTTAAAAAAAATACCGGCCAGGCGCAGTAGCTCAGGCCTGTAATCCCAGCACTTCGGGACGCTGAGACAGGAGGATCACTTGAGCCCACGAGTTCGAGACCAGCCTGGGCAACATGGTGAAACCCTGTCTCTATTTATTATGGTGAAAAAATAAAAAGACCTTCATGTAATTAGCCTGTTTCCTGATGGTTCAAATTGAAAAAAATAGAAAAATAGAAAAAAATCTAACCTCTCCTAAATTTCTAACTTTGCCTGTAATTCCTCAGTTTCCAGTTAATTTTGCATGCTAGACAGTCTTTACATATGAAACAAATGAACTGTAAACCAGTTATTCCACATGCTACCATGAGGATGGCTAAACAATCCAGCCAATCATGCCATGGTCCACATTCTGGCAAGGCACAAAGACAGCCCTAGGCAACAGAGCCGGTTTCAAACCTCACATGCATATTATGTGTAGTTTTCTTCAATAGCCATATACATCATGGTCAGTCTTAAACTTACAAATATTTGGACAAATGCATAAACGCACATTATCTCATGTTACATGATGCTATTGATTTAACCATAAAGCTATTCTATTGAATAGTAAAGATACGTGTTCTTCCATTTTTAGGATCTGCAGTAGTGATCAATCACAGGCTACAAAGTGATTTATACTACAATGTTGTAATGTCCCTTCAATTCAATTCAATTTACAAATATTTATTGATTATAGCTATATTCCAGGTGCTTGTGTGGGGTGCTAGGAATACACAATTGATTAAGATAGTTCCTGTCCTCATAGAGCTCACAGCCTTTCAGAGCGGAGACACATACAGTACAAACAGCATAACATAATGGGTTAAATACCCTTTGTGTTACCCTTAAGTAACATACTGCTATGTTATTCTATAGGGGTAATCACAGAGGAAATCACCATTAAATATTATAAGGAGGTAGGTTAGGCTTGGGGAAGGAAGTGACTTTTTTTTTTTTGGAGACGGAGTATCGCTCTGATGCCCAGGCTGGAGTGCAGTGGTGCAATTTTGGCTCACTGCAACCTCTGCCTCCAGGGTTTGAGCAATTCTCCTGCCTCAGCCTCCTGAGTAGCTGGGACTACCCACAATATTGGCCGGGCTGGTCTCGAACTCTTGACCTCAGGTGATCCGCCCGCCTCAGCCTCCCAAAGTGTTGGGATTACAGGCGTGAGCCACCACGCCTGGCCATGGAAGTGACTTTTTGAATTAGGCTTTTAGGCCTATGTACAATTCTGTCAGGTGGGAAAAAAATTCAGATGAGCATAAGCAAAAACATAGACACAGGGAAAGGAATGGCATGTAACAGAACAACATGCTATCCAGCACAGCTAAAATGTTAGGTAATTTTATTTTATTCTGTAAGTGAACAGCCTTAGAAGGATTTTGAGCAGGAGAGCAACGATCAGTTTCGTACTGCAGCAAGAAAATCCTGGTGATTGTGTAGGGGATGTATGTAAAGTTCCAAAGGAAAGGTTCGATGAGGGCCTCGATTAGGGCAGTGAAAATGAAATTGAAGAGAAAATAGGGGCCTAAGGTTTATTACAGAGACAGAATTTGCAGGCCTAGCCCCCTATAAGCTGGGGGAGAGGGGGACAGTGAAGGGGACAAGTAGGAATCAAATGACTGAGGTTTCCAACCTAAGTGACTGGGGTAGGGAGCTCTGCTGTTAACTGAGTTGCAGACTGAAGAGGGTGGTATAGGTTTTGGAAGTCTGGGGAAAGGAAATGCGAAGCTTACTTTGGACTGGACTCAAGTTTAAGGTGCGTATGGGAGACCCAGGTGATCCCTGCCAGTCACATGGAATATGAGACTGGAGCTTCAAAGGGGTTGAGTGATGGTCAAAAGTTATGGAATTTACAGAGCAAGAATAAAAAGGACTAAGGAAAGTCAGAGCGAGAAAATACCCAGAGTATGACACAGAAGTCAGAGGGGAGAGGTTTTAGAATGAAACGTGCCAAAGGTGTCAAATACACTAAAGACTAAGAGGACCTGCGATTTGGCAGTTTGGAGGCCCCTCACTAATGCTTTTTGAGAGAAGTTTTAGTAGGGCAGTGAGGAAGAAGGTGAGAAAGAGGCGGCAACAGTGGAGACAGACCAGCTGTTCCCCAAGCACATTCCTCATTAGATAACAAGATTTGCTTCCCCCATTAAAGGCTGAAAAGTTGATTGAAATTTTAATAAAGTCAGCTTGTATAAAGTTAAATTAGATCCAACAGGTGTCTTCACCATTCTTTCATAGCCTTTATTTTTATTTTTGAGACAGTGTCTTACTCTGTTGCCCAGGCTGGAGTGCAGTGGCGTGATCTTGGCTCACTGCCACCTCCACTTCCTGGGTTCAAGTGATTCTCATGCTTCAGCCTCCCAAGTAACTGGGATTACAGGCATAAGCCACCATGTCTGGCTAATTTCTGTATGTTTTTTAGTAGAGACGGGGTTTCGCCATGTTGGGCTGGTCTCGAACTCCTGACCTCAGGTAATCTGTCCGCCTCAGCCTCCCAAAGTGCTGGATTACAGGCGTGAGCTACCACATATGTTTGGCCTGTTTCATAGCCTTTAAAATGATAAAGCATATTGTGACTCTGCAATCTCCAGTAGGGGCATGCACCATTTCCTAGCAGTGCTTCCTCTTGTGAGGACATACTGAGAGACTAAGGTTTCAAGGATAATGCCTTGGGAAATACCAGTGTGGACAGAGAATAGTGAGGAGAGAGGGGTGAAAGAAGTTACCTTACAGCATTTCTAGCACTTTGCAGTTTACCAATGCTTTCTCATACATTATCTCATTTCATTCTTTGTAGCTAAACAAAATTTTAGGAAGCTGGACCAAAACTATAGTACAGACTTCTGATTTTTTTTTTTTTCTTGAGACAGAGTTTCACTCTGTCCCCCAAGGCTGGAATGCAGTGGCACAATCGGCTCACTGCAACCTCCGCCTCCTGGATTCAAGAGATTCCCCTGCCTCAGCCTCCTCAGTAGCTGAGACTACAGGCATGTGCCACCATGCCCAGCTAATTGATGCATTTTTGGTAAAGATGAGGTTTCACCATGTTGGCCAGGCTGGTCTTGAACTCCTGACCTCAGGTGATCCACCTGCCTCGCCTGAGCCTTGATTTTCAATCTCCAGAAACCCTAATACAGCATATATTAGTCATTGGTACTTTGCACTCTAAGTTGTGAAGAGAGACCTAGGAGTTGCTAGCCACAAAGCACCTTCTGAACTAAGCACTTCCTTATTTCTCTGTGCCCCACTAGCATAATTTCTCAAATGTCAGTCTTAGAATGAATGAATGGCACAGCATAGTCAATGTACAGCATCTGAGCCTCACTCTATCTTGGAGAGGTTGTGCTATTCTTAGTGTAACCTCCTCCACTATCATCTCGTTTTAATTATTTATTTACTGATATATATTTTTTGAGATGGAGTCTTGCTCTGTTGCCCAGGCTGGAGTGCAGTGGTACGATCTTGGCTCACTAACGTCTGCCTCATGGGTTGAAGCGATCCTTCTGCCTCAGCCTTCCAGTAGCTGGGATTACAGGCACATGCCACCATGCCTGGCTAATTTTTTAATTTTTAGTAGAGACAGGGTTTTGTCATGTTGGCCAGGCTGGTCTCGAACTTCTGACTTCAAGTGATCCATCCACTTCGGCCTCCCAAAGTGCTGGGATTACAGGCGTGAGCCACCGCAAACAGCCCCATCTCCTTTTTAATAACACACTTGGTATTTTCCTGCTATCTCCAAGATTACACTGTCATTTGGAAAAAGCGAGGTGTGGTACAGTGTGTAGTAGCATACTACCATTCTTTTGATTTAAAAAGGAGGTAAACATGAATATAGAAATAAAACTCTAGGCCAGGCGTGGTAGTTCACACCTGTAATCCCAGAACTTTGGGAGGCTGAGGCGGGCGGATCATGAGGTCAGATTGAGACCATCCTGGCCAACATGGTGAAACTCCGTCTCCACTAAAATACAAAAAATTAGCCAGGCGTGGTGGCATACACCTGTAATCCCAGCTACTCAAGGAGGCTGAGGCAGGGGAATCAATTGAACCTGGGAGGCGGAGGTTGCAGTGAGCTGAGATCTCACCACTGCACTCCAGCCTGGTGACCGAGCAAGACTGTCTCAAAAAAAAAAAAAAAAAGAAACAAAACTCAACAACAACAAACTTATGCAAGTGGTTACTTCTGAGTGAGTATAGGGGTAAAAATGATCAGATGGGACACATGGGTGGAGTCAAACTTTTCACTACATATCTTCTATGCTTTTTTATTTTTGAATCCTACAAATTGTATTACCTGCAGCCACACTTTAAACCTGATCTCTCTTTCATGTAGAAAAGGAAGCCTCCTAGAATGAGAATGGTAGTGACTTCAGCAAAAACATCAGAAACAGCTTATCCCTGTAATAAGCAACTACTCGCTCAATTTCTAGCTATTGTGGCAAGCAAGGTTTACTTGGATTAACTTTAATTAGCTCAATTAGCTCAAATTCCCAACACCTAAGAAACTACCATTTTTGGGTTTTTGGAAAGTAAAGAGGAGAAGCACAAAGAGGGCATCTATTCAAGACTAATCAGCCCATTATAGACTCTATGCCAATGGTGTATTGGAAAAGTAGGCTAGCTGTTCTAAAGCAGTTATTCAGACTAAACATCGAGACTTTGGGGACCAACATAAGATTACCAACTTCTAATTCTGCTAAGAGCATAACTACCGTTCCACTCTCAATCCCATCATTTACTACCATAATTTCTTAGAAGAAAAGATATTTTAACACCATTAAAGTACAAAGAATAACCTCATAACAAAAAAGAACTGGCAACGTTACACCCACCAAACAAACATACTTACAATTATCCTTTTGGTTCAAACAGAAACTTTGTCAGGGGTCAGTGTTTGGGAAACCCAGCTCTAAAACATCAACCCCTGCCCTGCAGCTCAGAGTCATAAGTTACCTGCTGAAGTTCTAGTCATTGCCAGCAACACATCATATTTTAATGCAGTATTCCTGTACAGGCAAATTTAGGGCTGTTGCTCACATATCCTCACTAAGGTATAATGAATGCTACCGAGTTCCTGATTTCTCTAGGCTCAGAATGTGGCTATAAATGCTTTTTAAAAACTGGGGTAAAGGGCCGGGCGCGGTGGCTCAAGCCTGTAATCCCAGCACTGTGGGAGGCCGAGGCGGGTGGATCACGAGGTCAAGAGATCGAGACCATCCTGGTCAACATGGTGAAACCCCGTCTCTACTAAAAATACAAAAAATTAGCTGGGCATGGTGGCGCGTGCCTGTAATCCCAGCTACTCAGGAGGCTGGGGCAGGAGAATTGCCTGAACCCGGGAGGCGGAGGTTGCGGTGAGCCGAGATCGCGCCATTGCACTCCAGCCTGGGTAACAAGAGCGAAACTCCGTCTCAAAAAAAAAAAAAAAAAAAAAACTGGGGTAAAAGAAAACATTATTATGTTCCTGCTATGCTGGCAATCACATAGTTTAACACAAAAACATGGGAATAGCCAAGTACTGTATACTACAAGCAAATGACAAGTGACCACAGAGGCCGAGTGCATTGGCTCACGCCTGTAATTCCAGAACTTTTGGGAGACTGAGGTAGGTGGATCACTTGAGGTCAGGAGTTTGAGACCAGTCTGGCCAACATGGTGAAACCCTGTCTCTATAAAAATCCAAAAAAAATTAGCCGGGGGTGTTGGCACACGCTGGTAATCCCAGCTACTTGGGAGGCCAAGGCAGAATTGCTTGAACCCAGGAGGTGGAGGCTGCAATGAGCCGAGATCATGCCACTGCACTCCAGCCTGGGTGATGGAGTAAGACTCTGTCTCAAAAAAAAAAAAAAAAAGTGATCACAGGGCCATTGTGACTGGTTACTGCATGACTGACAATGACGATGGGCAACCCCTTCTTTCTAAGCACAAAGCTAAAATGACTTAAGCTGAGGTTTACCTGAACATGTCCAAACAAATCAATTGCAGGCTCTGAAATCTCCAACTTACGAAATCTCACCTTTCAGTGAAGTTCAGTTTCATTTTGTTGTACTCACCTTCCAGCTACTGAGCACATGTTCAATGGGAGCAATGACTGGCTCCTCCTTCTCCAGGGGAAAAACCAGCTGCTCTGCCTGTCGGTTCTTCAGGACGATAGGGTCCCATTTGGAGAGGACTTGTGAGGTTTTATTGAATGCTACTTCTCTGTGGATCTGAAGCAGGCAAGGTATATAAAAAGAAAGAGCCACAAGATTAAGTATCACACACAAAGGACTAACAAAAAATTAGGAGGCAATGTTTCTTAGCCCAAGAATCAGGATGCTAGAGGTTACCTCTTGCTTCTCAGGACTGCAGTTTCTCCTAGATGATGATTATTATTATTTTTAGATAGACTTTCACTCGTGTTACCCAGGTTGGAGAGCAATGGTGTGATCTCAGCTCACTGCAACCTCTACCTCCTGGTTCAAGCTATTCTCCTGCCTCAGCCTCCCAAGTAGCTGGGATTACAGGCATGTGCCACCACACCCGGCTAATTCTGCATTTTTAGTCGAGAGGGTGTTTCACCATGTTGGCCAGGCTGGTCTCAAACTCCTGACCTCAGGTGATCTGCCTGCTTTGGCCTCCCAAAGTGCTGGGATTACAGGTATGAGCCACCGTGCCCAGCACTCCTAGATTATTTTTAATCTTACCCATAGTGGGGAAATCACAGCTCCCCCTCCTCCCATTTTTCAGGTCTTTCCCTTCTTTCTCTTATATTACCCTGTTTTCCCTTGTCAAGTCAATTTCTTTCCCTTAATAGACCACCTTCTCTGTAGCTTACCCGTTCAATCTCTTCTTTGTTAAGAGGTAACTCCACAGTCTTCTTTGATTTGACTCTATTCAGTTGCTTTTTCACAGTAGCCAAAGAAGATGAAGTTTTAACAGGCTCAAGCAGATCTGCAAGGACCAGCTTTTCTCCTGATCCTGTAGAAAGGTCAAACTTTCTGGTCAGACCAAGAAGTGAGGCAAGATCTCAATAAAGTGTAGGGAGAAGCCTCAGTAGAAAATGCCAGTAGATGGCAAATGTGCAGAAGTAGGAAGAATCCTCTTACTTCAATTTCCTATTTCTAGCCATGCCAACACTATCACTCTTCTGCATTCACCCCAAATGTGTTAGGGGATGGAAGAGAGCAGAAAAATATTTATTCAAAACTCAGTTGCTTTTCTCCTGGGGCTTCCACTCTTGCACCATTGCAATTCATTCTTCACATAACAGCCAAAAATAAAAACAGAAAAAGAGATCTTTTTGTTTTTTTTTTTTGAGACAGGGTCTCACTCTGTCACTTAGGCTGGAGAGCAGTGGTGCCATCTCTGCTTCCCAGACTCAGGCAATTCTCCCACTTCAGCTTGCCAAGTAGTTGGCACTAGAGGTGCGTGTCACCACGCCTGGCTAATTTTTTGTAGAGATGGGGTTTTGCCATGTTGCCCAGGCCAGTCCCAAACTCCTGGGCTAAAGCAATCTGCCCACCTTGGCCTCCCAAAGTGGGGATTACAGGCGTGAGCCACTGCGCCCGGCCCAAAATGATCTTTTGAAACTATAAACCAGACCAGGTGCGGTGGCTCACGCCTGTAATCCCAGCACTTTGGGAGGCTGAGGCGAGTGGATCATGAGGTCAGGAGTTTGAGACCAGCCTGGCCAACATGGTAAAACCCTGTCTCTACTAAAAATACAAAAATTAGCCAGGCATGGTGGCGGGCGCCTGTAATCCCAGCTACTTGGGAGCCTGAGGCAGGAGAATCGCTTGAACCTGCAAAGTGGAGGCTGCTGTGAGCCGAGATCGTGCCACTGTGCTCCAGTCTGGGCAAAAAGAGCAAGACTCCATCTCAAAAAAAAAAAAAAGAAGAAGAAAATATAATCCACAGCATGTCATGACCCTGCTGAAAATCCTCCAATGACTCCCCCTTATACTTTGAATCTCATCTACCTAAAGGACACAGCCCTATGAGATCTAGTCCCCACCTGCCTCTCTAACCTCATGTCACCCCCTACCCTCCACCCTTTGTCACAGGGGCCACTTTCCTACTCTTCAACATACTGTGCATGTTTCTACCTTAGAGCCTTTGCACTAGCTGTTCCCTGGCCTGAAATGCTTTCCCCCCCACCCCATCTTTGCATGACTGACTTTACTTGTCGTTCACATCTCAGCTTCAATTTTGCCTCTTCCGGGGCCTTTCATGACCAACCCTTCTAAAGTAGCCACTTAGTCACGTTACTGCATCATCCTCTCTTATTGTCTCCCTTCATTAGAATGTAAGCCCTATGAGCTCACATCTTATTTGCTGCTGTAGCCTTGGTACCACAACAGTTATTATCCTGATATTGCTACTGACACTGTACTAGGTGAAGGCCCTTGAATAAGTGACGTGACCTCTCTGAGCTCTGGCTGAAGAGAATATTGGGCTGTCTCCTAACTAGAAGCATTGTAAGAGAACTGAAATAAAAATGAAATTGTACAACTATGAATTATGACTAAGTTAGTAAGAGGCAGCTGTCTTCATTCATGTCCCTCTATCCTAGAAGTATCTCATCAAACTCTATAGGAGACCTTGACCACAGCCTTCTAGGCTTTGAGAGATGGAAAGAAATTGAAGGGCATCTGACTACCCTTCTTCACCCACTCTCCCAGATATTTATGGTATGCATCATTAACCACATCAAAAACAGTTCCTGGAGGGTGAGGTGAACACTTTGCCTTTGAAACCCCACAAGCTTCATGCATGGGTATCTTCCTTTGTTCAACTTACCTTCAGAACTGACATTGAACTCTGATACCTTCAGACTAGCCTCGGACCTCTCAGCCAATTTCCGCCTGAAATTAGGCCAAACAATATAATAGGAATGGATACGTTTTATAGAGGTTGGGGGTGAGAGAGACAAACACTTCTGTCTTCAAACAAGGCTTTGGTTTCTTGTATTTCTTCTAGGGTCGGGTTTTGTCATGATGCAGCAAGGAAATCTGTTCCTAACTTGGACTTGGTTGTCTAACCCTCATCTCTTCTATTACAAGGTAAGCATAGTGGAAAACATATTGAACTTAGATTCAAACACACTTGAAGCTGCAACTTATGAGCCAGGTGACCTTGGGGGTAAGTCAATTTACTTCTCTAATGGGGTTAAGTAATGTTTACTCAATGCTTTAAAAGATTTTCATGTGGAATAAGACTTCGAATGTTTACAATAATAGCACTAAGACTAATAATAGCTAACAGTTAATTATATAATGCTTACTATATGCTAGGCACTGGTATTAAGATCTTTACATGAAGCACTCAATAAATATTAGCTGCAAAGAAATCACATGGAATCGGCTAGTTATAATCTGCCCTAACTGATGGAAACGTTACCTATTCTTTCCATCAAGGGAACTGATTGCTTCCAGAAGCTTCTGATGCTTTCTCTCTCCATCACAGTCCCCCTAAGACACAGAAAAAGAAAAACTATCAGGATGAGCAGGAGGGAAAAGACAACATGGAAACTGAGGCCCACGTAAAATCTCTCGTACTTTTGGTCAGTGGAGAACTGGGGAACTGGAAGAGGTCTGGTGTGCAAGCATTCCAGCTCAAACTAAAAAGGAGGTAATGTCATGCGTCTGTCCTAACTTGCTTTGGGACAAAAAGGGCTTAGAATGGTGTTTCTGTATAAAATATATAGTATCATCCAACACAGAAACCCTGACATATAGTGTAAGTCACAGCCAGTTACCAAGTTGGTTTTTTTTCTTTGAGACAGGGTCTCACTGTCTTGCCCAGGAGGGAGTACAGTGATGCGATCTCGGCTCACTGCAACCACCACCTCCTGGATTCAAGCAATTCTCTTGCCTCAGCCACCGGAATAGCTAGGCTTACAGGCGCAAACCACCATGCCTGGCTAATTTTTGTATTTTTAGTAAAGACGGGGTTCACCATGTTGGTCAGGCTGGTCTTGAACTCCTGACCTCCAGTGATCTGCCCACCTTGGCCTCCCAAAGTGCTGGGATTACAGGCGTGAGCCACTGCACCTGGCCTCCAAGTTAAGTTGCCTTTTCCTAGGAAGAACACACCAACCAGAAAAAAAGAAAAAAACTCCTCCTTGTTATTAATAGATATGTTGTGTGCCCCCCACCCCAGGGAAAAAAACCTGGGTTTTTTCTTTTTGTCAGGAGAATAAAGAATTGGAATTCCTATAGCATCTGTTGGAGATCCCGCTTAAAATACGTATGCATATTTCAGTCAGATAATTAAATAACACTCTACAGAATTCCAAACTTGGGAAATGGGGAAACATATCATGAGGACCATGTGTGTGCGTGTGTGTGTGTTTTTTTTGTTTTTTTTTTTTCTGAGATGGAGTCTTGCTCTGTTACCAGGTTGGAGTGCAGTGGCACGATCTTGGCTCACTGCAACTTCCACCTCCTGGGCTCAATAGTAGCTGGGATTACAGGCACATGCCACCATCACCACGCCTGGCTAATTTAGCACTTAATATTATACAGTATCTTACATTGCCACACCTTTCCTTTCCAGGAATGTGCTCTCTACCCTAATTTTGAAGGCAGTTTAGCAATTGTCACCCACCTCATCTTCACTCTCACTCAAGAGGTAGTCTTTTGGCAAATCCACTAGTTCTTCCTGTTGGCTCAAAGCCAGAAGGCTGTTAAAAGAGGCAACAAAGAAATGTTCATGCAATATAACCATCTAACAAACCTGCATATGTATCCCTTAATTATAATAAAAGTTGAAGTGAAATAAATGTTATCATTTGAAATAATGTCTAATCTATTAAAACAATCTCAAAAACATTGTAACTTCAGCACAGAATAGCCCTATCCCTTGGAAGATATATAAAGCAGTGTGAAAGCCTTTGGAAACTTGTCATGACATGAAATTTAGACTGAAGTCAGGCAACACCTCCAAGAGTGCATGCAAAAGAACTAATACTTTTCAGTGATTGGTACAACATTTCCTATGACCTATAGGAAGCTATACAAATGTCAAACCCTGGAATAATATGGCCAAAGATGCTGTTGCTGGCCCTGGAGGCAAGGCAGTTTCATGATATATATACATATATATATGTATGTTTTGAGATGGAGTCTCACTCTGTCAACCAGGCTGGAGTACAGTGGCATGATCTTGGCTCACTGCAACCTCTGCTTCCCAGGTTCAAGCGATTCTCCTGTCTCAACCTCCCGAGTAGCTGAGATTACAGGCACAGGCCGCTTTGCCCGGCTAATTTCTTGTATTTTAGTAGAGATGGGGTTTCTTCGTGTTGTCCAGGCTGGTATCCAACTCCTGAGCTCAGGTAATCCTCCCGCCTAGGCCTCCCAAAGTGCAAAGATTTCAGGCGTGAACCACCATGCCCGGACTCACGATTAATATTTCTAAGCATCCTCCACGTTTGACTCCTTGATAGGCAGCCTAATCAAAAGTGTCATCTTGATCACTTGTTTCCAGGAATGGAGAAACAGGTCAAAAGCAGCTGAGTAAGCCATTTTCCCTGGGGCTTGCTTAGCAAGTAGGTGCTTAACTAAGGAGACTGGTACCCACAAACATAAAACTTACTGTTAGCTAACAGCGTATATTATTAGTATTTGCAAAGCCAACATTACTAAAGGGACTACAATTAGTTCCAGGGGTGGGGGGTGGGGGCACGAAACATCACAGGAGTGAAAACGTGGTGGATGACTCCAACCAGCAAAGGTTTCCAAGATTTGAGGAGTTTATAACTCCTGCACTGCTTGCGCAGAGGATTAGATCGGGCCGCAGAAAAAGGGAAGAAAAGGGGTCACGTGATGAAGAAAGTACAACAGTAAATGAGCTGGGGAGGCAGAAGCAGCATCAGGACCAACAGGGATGCGGCTATACCGGTGAGGAGGGCAGTAAGCGAATGAAATTAAATTAAAAGGGCTTTAAAGGCTGGATCGCGGAAAATAGGAACGAGTGGCCAGTTCTTAAGGGGAACCATTGCCATCTGTTAAAAGGGGGCTCCCATTTCCCAAAAGCTGGGGAACCCGGCCCCCAACGAGTCCGAGAATCCCCCTTCCCGTCTGCCCCTCACCTCTCCGCAAGCCGGTTCGCAGTCATCTCAGCAGCCCGCTTCTCTCACATGTACCAAGAACGGAAGCCGAAGGAAAGCAATTTCCGTGCCGGCCGCAAAGCAATTTCTGCTTCCGTCAATTGCTCGCGACGGAGACGTCACATCCGTTCCGTGCGAGGCGTGTGAGAAGAGGGAGCCGTGTCGGGAGGGGCCTGCAGAAAACGGGGAGGCTGGAGATGAAACGGCTGCCAGCGGGTGGAGTTTTCCTTTCTCCACCCGCCCCGTATTTCCCTGGTGCGCCGCTGTCTGTGCTCCTGGCCCCTGGTTTCCACGCAGCCCAAGGTGGGTGAGTTTAGGGCGAGGGTGCTGCGCTGTCAGGGGCTGAAACCGCGCCTTCATTTGTCCCTACCTAATCCAGCGCCCGTCCTTGTGCGACGGTGTCCTGCAAGCCTGCCACCAGTCAACTCGAGGGTTTATTGAATGCCCATTAAGGGGCCAGATTGTGCTGGGACCCGGCGATCCGATAGTGAACAAAACAAGTTTCCTTGCATTTAAGGAAAAATCTCTTTTGATCCCTTGTAATTGCAGCTCTGTTCTTCATTCCAGACTCAAAAGATTTTATCCAAGAATGGGCCATCGGTAGCTACGCTTCCTAACCGCCCATCAACTTAAAATTTTTTTAAAACAACTTTTTTTCTCCCATCAACTTTTAATAATTTTATTTATTTATTTTTGAGACAGAGTCTCGCTGTGTCGCTCAGGCTGGAGTGCAATGGCGTGATCTCGGCTCACCACCCCCCCAGCCCCCCACTCCAGGGTTCAAGCGATTAACCTGCTTCAGCCTCCTGAGTAGCTAGGATTACAGGCGCCCGCCATACCCAGCTAATATTTGTATTTTTAGTAGAGAAGGGGTTTTGCCACCTCGGCCAGGCTGGTCTTGAACTCCTGACCTCAGGTGATCTGCCCACCTTGGCCTCCCAAAGTGTTGGAATTACAGGCGTGAACCACGGCACCCGGCCTCATAATCTTTTTTAAAATTAGAGATTGTAGACAAATAATAGACAAGAACATTCTTTTCATTTTAAGCCATCCCGTTTTGCCTTTCCCCCATTATTCCACAGAAATTGCTCCGGACAAGATCAGGGACACCCAAAGTTGCTAAATAAAATGGATACTTCTCAGTCTTTGGCTTCCCAGAACTTTGTGTGGCATTTAATATTGTTGATTTGTTTTCTCGTTTCTTTTCTTTGTGAGATGGAATTTCAATCTTGTTGCCCACACTGCAGTACAATGGCACAATCTCCACTCACTGCAACCTCTGCCTCCCGGGTTCAAGCGATTCTCCTGCCTCAGCCTTCTGAGTACTTGGGATTACAGATGCCTGCCACCACACCCAGCTAATTTTTTATTTTTAGTAGAGACGGGATTCCGCCATGTTGGCCAGGCTGGTCTGGAACTCCTGACCTCAGTTGATAAACCCGCCTTGGCCTCCCAAAGCGTTGGGATTACAGGCATGAGCCACCGAGCCCAGCCGATTTGTTTTCTTATTTAGGAAATGTTTTTAGCCATCTACTATGTGCCAGGCCTCTAGGCATTGGGGATACGTTGGTGAACAAAGCAAATATGTCCCATGCCTTTCTAGACCTTACTTTCTAGTGGGATTAAAGACAATGTTGTTATTGTTGAAACTCCATCCTGAGATTTCAGGACACCACTTTCCCCTGCTTTCTTAGCCCTGTGACCATCTTCCTCAGTCTTCTCTGCTGGATGGTTTTAATATACTTACTCCCTAAATGATGATGTTTCCAAGAATTCTGCTTTAATCCCTCTTTGTTTCTTACAGATACTCTTCCTAAGTGAAATTGCCTTTAACACCTGCATGAGAACAAAATTTACATCTCTAGCCCTAATCTCTTTCTTGAGCTCCAGACTAGTATCTCTGATTGCCTCCTGGCCCTTCGTTTTGTCCCACAGGCACATCAAACATAAAATGACCAATAATTTCTATCTTTTCCACAAGAGTTCCTTTCCTGAATTTCTCATTTCTATGATTGGCCCATGAACTGAAGTCTGAGAGTCGTTTTAGATTCCCCTCTCCTTTACGCTCTGCAGCTGCTTGTCCACATTATCAATTTTACTTCCCGGGGTCTCTGTCAAATATCTCCTTAGCTTTCTCCATCATGTTTGCCATTGTATTAGTTGAGACCTTTGCAATTTCAAGCCTGTGGCATTGCAATAATCTTACAAAAAAGGGAAGCATTATAGCATTTTCATATTCATGAAATGAAATATGAAGAGTGAATGAATAAAAAATTCATTTTGTGATGAAGAGCCCTAGCTTTGAAGCTGTACTCTCTGGGTTTGAATCTTAGCTCTGTCACTTACTAGTTTTATAGTTTTTTTTGGGGGGGGGGGGCATGAGTAGAGAGAATCTTGCTCTGTTGCCCAGGCTGGAATGCAGTGGTGTGATCTCAGCTCACTGCAACCTCCACCTCCCAAGCAATTCTCCTGCCTCAGCCTCCCAAGTAGCTGGGACTACAGGCGTATGCCACCATGCTCGGCTAATTTTTTGTATTTTAGTAGAGATGGGGTTTCATCATGTTGCCCAGGCTGGTCTCGAACTCCTGAGCTCAGGCAATTTGCCCACCTCAGCCTCCCAAAGTGCTAGGATTGCAGGTGTGAGCCACTGCACCCAGCCTAGTTTTATAATTTTTGAGTAAGTCCCTTAACTCTCTGTGCCTTTGTATTCTCATCTTTATTTTATTTATTTATTTAGAGACGGAGTCTTGCTCTGTCGCCCACACTGGAGTGCAGTGGCCTGATCTCGGCTCACTGCAACCTCTGACTCCTGGGTTCAAGCAATTCTGCCTCAGCCTCCAGAGTAGCGGGGATTACAGGCTCAAGCCACCATGCCTGGCTAATTTTTTATTTTAATTTTTTTATTTTTAGTAGAGTAGTGGCTCATGCCTGTAATCCCAGCACTTTGGGAGGCCAAAGCAGGAGGATCACTTGAGCCCAGGAGCTCAAGACTAGCCTGAGCAACAGAGTGAGACTCCATCTCTGTTTTTAAAAATAAATAAAACATTTGGGAAACAAAAACCCCAAAGCAATACAAAAAATACAATAAGACAATATACAGTATTTACAATAGCATTTACATTGTATTGGGTATTTTTTTTTTTTTGAGATGGAGTTTTTATCTTGTTGCCCAGGCTGGAGTACAATGGCATGATCTTGGCTCACCACAACCTCTGCCTCTCAGGTTCAAGCAATTCTGCTGCCTCAGCCTCCTGAGTAGCTGGGATTACAGGCATGTGCCACCATGTCCGGCTAATTTTGTATTTTTTAGTAGAGACAGGTTTCTCCATGTTGGTCAGGCTGGCCTGGAACTCCCAACCTCAGCTGATCCGCCTGCCTCGGCCTCCCAAAGTGCTGGGATTACAGGCGTGAGCCACCGCACCCGGCTGAATTGGGTATTATAAGTTATCTAGAGATGATTTAAAGTATGTAAGAATATTTGCATAGGCTATATGCAAATACTATGCCATTTTATGTCAGACTTGAGCATCTTTGGATTTGGGTATCCATGCGGGTCCTGGAACCAACCCTCCCCAGATACTGAGGGACAACGTATTTGTCACATATTAAATGTTCAATAAATGTCATAATATTAGTAATAATTATTATTTCACTGACCTTTTAGTCTTTAGTCTCACTTCATCTAATCATTTAAATTGGACTACAGCATGCCCCTACTTAAAAAATGCAAATAGACCCTTATCACCAAGATTAAAAAAAACTATCTAGTCCTTGTCAGTCTCTCCATCCTGTTTGAAACACTTCCCACTTCCCTCAGGGTACTCCAAATTATATTTTTATGGACAGATGATGTTTTCTTAATCTTATATAAAGTATGAATAAAAGCATTTTAGAAAACATTGACATTTTTATTGATCTATACTTAATCTAAGTAAAGACAGTGTGTTTGCTATGCAAATGCAGCTTTGAGACAGATCCCCTAAGAATTCCCCCTTCACAGTTTTAACCAGATTGCTGCCCCTTTTCCCTCTTATGTAGAATTATGGAACAGCCAATGCAGTATTTTAGTTGAGATCTAAAGGATAAGAAGGAGCCAGTGTTGCGAAGAGCTAGGGAAGATTGTTCAAGACAAAACAATGTGGGCTGGCCGGGCGCGGTGGCTTATGTTTGTAATCCTAACACTTTGGGAGACTGAGGTGCGTGGATCACCTGAGGTCAGGAGTTCAAGACCAGCCTGGCCAACATAGCAAAACCCTGTCTCTACTAAAAATACAACAATTAGCTGGGCATAATGGTGCATCTGTAATCCCAGCTACTAGGGAAGCTGAGGCAGGAGAATTGCTTGAACCTGGGAGGTGGAGGTTGCATTGAGCTGAGATTGCAGCACTGCACTCCATCCTGGGCGACAGAATGAGACTGTCTCAGAAAAAAAAAAAAATAATAATGTGGGCCCAACACAGTGGCTCATGCCTGTAATCCCAGCACTTTGGGAGGCTAAGGCAGGAGGATCGCTTGAGTCTAGAAGTTCAAGACCAGTCTGGGCAACATAGGGAGACCCCTATCTCTACAAAAATATTAGCTGGGTATGGTGGCTCACACCTCTAGTCCCAGCTACTTGGAGGCTGAGGTAAGAAGATCACTCGAGGCCTCGTGCGGTGGCTCACACCTGTAATCCCAGCACTTTGAGAGGCCGAAGCGGGTGGATCACCTGAGGTCAGGAGGTTGAGACCAGCCTGGCCAACATGGCAAAACCCTGTCTCTACTAACAATACAAAAATTAGCCAGGCATGGTGGCACGTGCCTGTAATCCCAGCTACTCGGGTGGCTGAGGCAGGAGAATCACTTTAATTTCGGAGGTGGAGGTTGCAATGAGCTGAGATTGTGCCGCTGCACTCCAGCCTGACTCCATCTCAAAGAAAAAGACACCTGAGCCAGGGAGGTTGCGGTTGTGATATTCATGATCACAACACTGCAGACTCACCCGGGAGAACCCTGTCTCAAAAAAAAAAGAAAAGAAAAAAGTTATGTGTACACAGACCCTCAGGGTTGGGAAAAGCTTGGTATACTTTAGCAACCGAAAGGCTAGTGCAGCTGGATCATGG